CATTACTAGCATATCTGCTATGGCACGAACCGAGTGACCTTCAAGTGACTTAGTCACTATCCTTTGTCTGTCATCATTCGAGACAACTTTACGTTGCCTCCTCAGACCCGGCTGCTGCCCCCTTACCAGAGCTGCTACTGCTTCCGCCTCACCAACTTTACATACTGACTCCGCCTCACTAGCTTTACATACTGACTCCGCCTCACTAGCTTTACATACTGACTCCGTATCACTAGTTTTACATACTGATTCCGCCTCATTTATTATATTTAAATAATTGTTTAAATTTCTTTGACTCATAATGGGTAAAAATTTTTTTAAAAAATATTTTTCGTTTTATATCTTTGTAAATCCTGAAGAAAATGTGATTATGTAATTGATTGCAAAACTTATTCATATGGTTGCAACAGTTATTATATTGATTGCAAAAACCGTATTTTACCAGTTGTTATACGCAATTGATTGCAACAATTATTCATATGGTTGCAAAAAATATGATATTGATTGCAAAATTACAAAAATTACAGTTGAATTATTCAATTGATTGCAATAGTTATTCAATTGGTTGCAATTATTATTATTTTGATTGCAAAAGAACACTTGAGAATTCTATTTTATTCATTTGGTTGCAACAGTTATTCAATTGGTTGCAATGATTATTATATTGATCGAAAAATCCTATAATATAATTAGTGTTTTCCTTATAATCTGTTAGTTGTCACACCAGCATCAATTGATGATGTGACTAGTTTCAATTAGTCAATTGAAACATATGATAATTGGTTTAACTCTTTTTTAAGCATTTAAGGGAAAAAAGTTTAAATAAATTATCATAAACAAAGATTTAAATTTTATTAAAGTTACAAACAATCCAATTAATCATGCAGGCAGGACACTAAGTATCTTTAAAAATTTTAGTTAGAAATCACAAATCATAAAAGTTGTTATTTAATAAAATAAAATTTTTAAAAAATTTTTATAGATTCAATCAAATGGAAAAAGAGAACAATTTATATTCAAAAATTCAAGAAGAACAGCGTGAGGTAGAAAATAAGTATAGTAAACACATGTATGAAGAGTTTAACTTGAAATTAAAGTATCAGAATCTTATGGAACCTTTCTTAAAGGAGAGAGATACAGCAATCAGATCTTTAACAAAAAAACAGAGAATTTTTTTATTTGAGAAAATCACTGGGAAATTTTCAGAATTCCTGTCTCTATTACCAACTTATACACACGAGGATATAGAGTATTATGACATGTATTTTATCAATATGTTGAAAGTAACTCTTTTAGAAAACTTTGAAGCAAAAGTTGAATTGGAATTATTTGAAAATCCTTATATTGAAAACACTAAATTAGAGCGTATTTTTTGTTTAGTTGATAACAAGAATCAATTTGATAAAATTAATTATAAAGAAGGAGTGGAAAAGTGTGATTTATTTAATTTCTTTGAAGAAAGAAAAGCTATTGATTTATCATATTTTAATGCTATTTATGATTTATACCTTGATTTAGGTGATGGAATTATTTTAGAATAATTTTATTAAATTTTAAATTCTTAATTAAGTAATTTTTTAAAATCTTCTTTAAAACTATTAATATAATTAGTGTTTTCCTTATAGTCTGTTAGTATTTTAAATTTACTAATAAAAATATCATAATAGTTAACACTGTCTTCTTTCATAATTTTAATAAAATCATTTAAATCTTCTAAATTATAAAATCCAATAGTAAAGAATTCATTTTTATTAGACTTAAAAAAGTTAATATTTTTTCCTTTGATAGAAAATTCTAACCCATTAACTCTCTCAATTAAAATATATTCAGTGTATTCAATTTCGTAAGAATAAAGTACTATTTCTAGTGTTTGATTTGAAAATATTCTAACTTCTAATTTTTTACTAGGTGTTGTGTAAATTTCAAATAAATTTGAATTAAAAGGTGATTGTTTTATTATTGGTGAATTATGTTTACAATAATTAATTAAATTATTCTTTTGATTTGATTTATAACTAAAGATTGTCATTCCTTTATAAATCATTTTAATTATGCAAAATAATTTAAATAAATTTTGTTTATTATTTATGCAGAAGCAGTATAAAGAGATACTTAATGAAATAAGAATAGATTGGGAAACATTACTTACAGATGAGTTTAATCCACTACATATAGCATTGGCGGTAAATAAAGGTACAATACAGAATACAGAATTTAGAGAAATGTTTCATAAGCTAGAGTTTATTATGGAAAAGATAATTGAGGTTAATTTTAAGGGGTTTAGTGATTCAGTGTTAAGTTACAATGAGTATAATAAGCAAAATGCTGAGATAATAGAAATTCTTAATGAGTCATTTGAGGCTAGTCATCAAGTTGAGGGAAACCTGTATATTGATACAATTTCAAAGGAAAATAAAAAATCAGAATATTTTAAAGCGAGGTATGAAATATTAAGACAATTAAAGCACATTAAAATAATGTTTGATGAATATTTAAATTCAACTGAAATTATAAAAAGATGTAATCAGTTAGTTAGATGTTTAGATTTAATAGATAATAAGGAATTATTAAAGATAAAAGGAGTTTATGAATTTAGATTGAAAATATATAAAGAGTATGTAGTTTTAAGTGAAGAAGTATGTATGGAAGTATTTAAGTTTATATTTAATAATGAAATTAACGTGTCATTTAAATGTTGCTTGATACTTGGAAATTTACATGAATTAGAAGTATATTTTTATAAAAATTTTAAAACTTTTTTATTTAATAAGCTAGAAAGTATAATTATAAATGTATCAAAAAGTACAGATATTTCATTAGAAACGTTATGTAAATTAATATGTAATAAGATTGATAGAATAATATTAAATCACCAAACAATAGTTGATTGTGTATTAAAAAATTTTAAGTTAGATAAAAATAAAGAAGATTATTTTGGAAACAAAGATGAGTCATATTCATATGTAACTAGAAGTGATTTGATTATTAGTACAATAGAAGCTGAGTTGATGAATTTTATAGATAGATATTCGATAACAATAAAGACACAAGGAGAATTCAATTTAGAAAATATAGTTGATAACATAGATTACACTAAAATATACCCAACAAATTATAATATTTATAGAAATGATACAGAAATGTCAGTAGAAGAATCTAGTAAAGCAATTAATAAAAGTTATGGGACATACACATTAATATTATCACCAAAGTATGAAATTGTACCAGTCTTGTTAAAATTTGTTAAAAATGCCAAAATAAGAGTTTTTCTAAATAAAAAAGTAGAAACAGTTTATACTAAATTTAGATTAGAAAAGAATTTAAATAAAGTTGAAGAGTTGTTTAAAGAATCTGCAAAGATAAACACCAAAAATTCAAAATTAGTGATTTATGAAAGTTTAAAAAATATAATTGATTCTATTAAAGATAATTCATCTGATAGTGAAGCACTAAAGAAACAGATAATGAAAAAATCTAAAGAATATTTTCAAAAGTTATATGAAGAGTTATTTAAGTGTAAAATAGTGACAAAAAGATATGAGACTATTCAAGTTTATAATGGTAAAAGAGGAATGATTACAGAATTTGACCCAGCATTTAGAGAAGCATTATCTAAAACAATACTCACCAAGGGAGATACTTTACTTGTAAAGCAAAACTATTTAACGGCTTTATATGCCTTTAATACGATAAAAGATCTTGATAATAAGCTGTCAATAAAGGAAACTAATAAGTTGTATGAAAAATGGCTTTATACTTTAAGAAGACAGTTAAATGTTGAGTTTTTTTATCAATTTGATATTTACTTCCGAGAAGGTCATTATGATTCTAATTTCTATTTTAAGAAAATTACTGATGTTCTAAATTTATTTTATAGTGAAACTAAAATGAATAATTTATTTGATGATCTTTATAAAAATATTGAATATTATTGTAAAATAAATGCTGGGATAATGAAAGTGTTTAATGAAGAAGATCTTATAAAGTTTATTAAAGAGTTAAAAATATTTGATGAAGTGATGGGAGAAATTAACTTTGGAGGTGATTTAAA